GAGTTACAATCAATAGACTCTAGGGTAGGAGTGACAGGTGTCATGGGAGATTAGGCTGAGAGTCACAGTCAATAGACTCTAGGGTAGGAGTGACAGAGCTAGATGTCACGGGAGTTTAGGCTGAGAGTTACAATCAATAGACTGTAGGATAGGAGTGACAGATGTCATGGGAGTTTATACTGAGAGTCATAGTCAATAGACTCTAGAGTAGGAGTGACAGGTGTCATGGGAGATTAGGCTGAGAGTCACAGTCAATAGACTCTAGGGTAGGAGTGACAGAGCTAGATGTCACGGGAGTTTAGGCTGAGAGTTACAATCAATAGACTGTAGGATAGGAGTGACAGATGTCATGGGAGTTTAGACTGAGAGTCATAGTCAATAGACTCTAGAGTAGGAGTGACAGGTGTCATAAGAGTTTAGGTTGAGAGTCACAGTCAATAGACTCTCGGGTAGTAGTGACAGAAGCTAGTGAACGAAGGATTAAGAGACCCTTATCTTTTTAATTACCAAGCGCATCTTATAACTCCACGACGTTTTCTATTGTGACTATGGTAACTGCTGTTATTGTCTCGCAGCGGATCGTGAGGGTCGGCAAGGGGTATTTTCGTAAGCTGTAATCAATTGTTTTTATTTTCGTAATAATGTATTTGAAATAAATAAAAAAAGTAAATTCGTAGACATGGGCAATGTGTTATATGTAATCAGCTACTTTATTCGTCCGTAACTTGTACAAAGATCTTATTTTTTTGTAAGTGTATACAACATTTTTTCCACATTAAATGTCGTAATTCGTACACAACTTCTAATTTGGATTCTTAAACACAAGTTATCAAATATATTATAAAAATGTAAAATGTAATTAGAAATTTGCTTTATCTGTAACGTGTAAAAACTATTTTTTACTGTAAATGGAACTTTCATTTTATTTTCTGTAAAAACGTAGAATGTCTGTTTTTATTTCTTGTAACCTGTACCAGGTACCCCCCCTCCCCCGCGTCATGTAGGCGCTAGTATACATCAAAGCCAGTGTGACATTTTTTTAAATACTGTGGATGATTGTATACCACTGGCCGACCAAAGACCTCAGTCGTTGGTGTATTCAAACTGGTTGTAAAGCGTGTTAAATAGTACACGATATCCAACATAAAAATGTACATTGTCGCGTCTCCATGCATATTTCAGTGTTTCGGGTTTAACCGTATATGGTCACTTAAATATCACAATGTGAGTATACAAATACATCTATCACATTTCAGTGTATTAGACCATGTCCTTATATGGTCACTAACCTGACTCAAGGTCAGAGCGACATTTGCCTGGTTGACCCTTGACCCATCATAGTCAATGGGACCGTTCAATTTCAGTCAAGCATGTATATTGTCAAGCATTAGCACTGACATGGATATCCACGGCAAGGTAGCGATCGTGACTGGTGGTGCCGATGGTATCGGACGAGCCATTGTTGAACAGTTACTGATCAAAGGTGCTAAAGTAAGTATACATTTCAATCCACAAAATCATGCGACAATAAGCTTTCTCAAGAGCCATGTCATTACGCATGTCCAACAGAATATCAGCAACTCTGAGAGAAAAGGTTGATTGGTTAATAACGAGTATAGATTACGGCTATCGATAGACTCATAATTAGTGTTATGACGTAGTATGTAACATTGATCTCTAATCGCCGCTTATATAGCATCCCGGTGACTGATGACGTCAGGTATAGTCAAGATATTGACGGTCGGTTTATTACGAGACTAGCTAGTAAACACCCAGGTAAACAGTCCGTCTACAACAATATAAAACCTTCGATATATTACACCCATAATTTAAAAAAATAAGAATTTTAAAAGAGCGTTTTCATTATTTATTTATATCAAATATCGAACCACATCATCAAAGTATTTTGTTGACGTCACATTTAATGATTGACATTTTCATACCAGGTTACACTGTAGATGGCGCTCTTCGCGTTGCTCCGACATTATTTTGTCACGAGTTACGTTTTTCATAATACATTACCCACAATTCCAGTCATTTTATCGCATTTCATTCGTATAGGCTGTAACAATTTTAGACGTTAATGTTGAGACGGGAGAAAAGACACTGGAAGAACTAAGACAAGAATATGGAGAAGACAGATTGGTGTTTGTCAAATGTGACGTCAGCGAGGCTACACTGCTTGAAGGTGGATGCATATACATATTTGTATATATTATTTTGATTTCAGGCAATGTCCTCAGAAATGGCAAATATAGAAGAAGGCCTGACAATATTATAAAATTTAGGCTTTATATTACATGTCTAACTCCCTGGATGAAATTGTATTTTGCCGGTCATCATGAAATAAGGTTTAGGACTAGTTATTGACAGTTACATAAATCTAGTTAGAGAAGTTATTTATTAGTCAGTTGTAGTTAATTATACTAATATTACTGAGTGGTATTGACTTCACATCCGTCAGCAGTAGTTACTCTAATACTCTTATTAAATAGTGGCAGTTACTTCATATTAATCAGTGCTTTTTACTAAGTATTAATTAGTGGTAATTACTTCCCATTAGTTAGTGGTGGTTACTTTATATTAGGGACTAGTCATTGGTACTTCATATTAATTAGAGGCAGTTACTTTATACTAGTATTCACTTAATAATACTGGTTAATAAATGCTAGTTACCTCACGTTAGTCAGTGGTAGTTACTTTATATTAGCGGTAGATAGTTTACTCTAAATAATGTAACAACCAATAAATTATATCATTGCTATTATTTTAAAATATCCGCAATAAATTGACATTCCTTTGTGTGTTTGACCAGCTGCGTTTGCATCAACAAAGTCACGTTTTGGTGGACTGGATATTGTGTGTAATAATGCTGGCATTGGAAATGAATTTAAACTAGATCTGTGCGTGGCAGTTAATTTGGTAAGTATAAACGTGATACAATGCACTTTGTTCAGGTTTAGAGATCGAATTGAACAATGTCACATGATTTCTACAGTTAGTGTACTAGTAAATATTGATGTCAACGACCTTATCTAGAATAAAGAAATATTGTGATTGTATGACAATTTTCAATGTTAAAGGACGCGCCGCGTCCTGTTCAATATGGGAATCATAGCGACGTACACGTACACGTTTGTTTACATAAAAATTGAACACGCGCTGCGCGACGACCACCGCCCTTTAATGTTTAGATCATCGATTCAGTATTCAGAATATCGTAACACCCACAATTACATTATGTCATGGGTATATCGTGTTAACGTGAGATCATTGCCCTTTCATGACAAATCATGAGAAATAGTGTACGCCCGCAACGACCGGAGTGAATATAATTTGGATAGTAATCACCCCCTGCGCTTGCCAGAGGGATAGTTTCATGTATTTTTAAGTGTATCTCAGATTGGTAACAGTGCCATGAAACAGTCTTGTCATTATGTAGCTCTATCGTTAATTGTAGTTGCGATATTATGAGGTTATTACGAGGATACCTCAAAGTATGCACGAAGACAGTACAGCGGGAGTATCGACCAGCGGAGGTAGATGCAACGGCGTACTCTCTGAGTGAATATTTTGAGGTATCCTCGTAATAACATTATTATTATACAACTTTTCCATGGATACATCATGGAAATGCCCAAATCCATAATCGGCGAACTTATTAGTGTGGAGTCCGGTCAAACTCTGGTGGCAGCCATGTTAGTTTTTATTATTATTATTAGAGGACGCTTACGCGCGTAATCATTCCATATTTGGAATTCGCATTTCCTTATATGGTTGGATGAAAATACCCCGTAAAATACCACAAAATAACGACACGATGTAACTTATGGCGTTATGGTGACAGATGTATAATAATAAGGCATATTCACATCAACATAAAAATGTTGTAAAACCAGCTTTAAATATTGAGTACGAGATTCGATAGGGCTAAAATTATAATAGATTATTATTCCCTGTCATAAAATGTATTCCGTATTATCCGCTGATTATGTTTGAAATCTTTCGATAATAGAATGCATCTACATCTACATAATAGTATAAATAAATAAATAAATAAATAAATAAACAAACAAACAAACAAACAAACAAACAAATAAATAACCAAACACGCACGCATTTGCTCCACACGAACGTCGGACATTACCAACGCAACCACCGTTCATGCAGAACGTGCATGGGTGCGTGTCAATGGTGCCCCTGGTAAAGATTCAATCCTTGTAATTTTCACTCAGACAGCTGTGATCAGAGGTACATATCTCGCTGTAGAACACATGGGGACAAAGAATGGGGGAAATGGAGGCGTGGTTATAAATACTGCATCTACATCCGGTGAGTAATGATGAAGTTATTTTCATTGTTTGCATTCAATGTTCACATCACATCATTGTGAAATCGGTGTTCATGCCCCTGTCTGTACATCATTAGACGCCATTCCATTTCATTGTCACCGCTGCTGTGATTTTGCAGAAAACATATACTTTTCTAACAAATACCGCTGAGGGAAGAAAACAAATCTGACAGTAATATTGGAGATTTGTGTATTTTATGAGGCCGTAAATAAAACATGAACACAGCAAGTTTGAAATGTAAATCGTAGGGATGACTGTTACAATAAATATTCTCGATTGGTGAGTTAAAACAACAAGAGTCAAGTGATGATGTTCGGGGTTTAAAGAGCGGTGGTCGCCCCCGGGAAGTGCAATACGGGTATATTGCCGCCCGACTGGGGTGTAATTTCACGTTATTTTGTTTAGAAGTGGGTGGTCACTTAATCAATGTTTTGGTTTAGAAGTGTGTAGCATTTATTTACTTTTCAAAGGTTCTTATATTCAAAGCCAAATACCGGAAAAGGCTGAATAAAATGTGTCGCCCGGATGCGCTCACTGGTTGCGAAAGTTGTGAACTGGGTGTGTGTTTTTTTCGCTGAAAACACTTGTGTTTAGAAGTGGGTATATAAATAGAAAAAAATGGTTTAGAAGTGAGTATGGTTTACGAGAGGTGGGCTGCACACCCTTAGCCACTTAATGTGGAAGTAGCCCCCCCCCCCCGGCGGTCGCCGCGCCGCGTCCTGTTCGATATGGGACTCATAGCGACGCACACAACGCGTGGAAAATACATTGTTTACATGAAATTTAAAAACGCGCTGCCCTTATCGGCTTTTTGTACTACAGAAAAACTACTAGAAATGCGTGTCCAATTTACTTTTATTTTCACTACCATTATCGAGCCCAAATATACGCTATTCAAAACTATTAATGTTGAAAAAAATAAGACTACTACTGAATCTCACTATCAGAAATGATGAGAATTCTCAATTTTATTGCCAATATCGAGCTGTCTTGTGATGCAATTTCACCACCAACGAAATGCGAATTGCAATCCTAATTCCTTCTTTTCTGTTGGTGAGTTTCAGCAGACTTTATTCTTACCAATATACAATGTACTCTCCGTTCATTGTTGGATTTTGTGTATTTTTTAGGATTTTACGCCATACCTTTATCGCCAATTTACGTAGCTACAAAACATGGCGTTGTTGGATTCACTCGAAGTGTCGCTGTAAGTATTCCAATCTTATGTCAAATGATTTTTTTAGAAAATGTTTGCGCCCTCGTACTGCAACAGTGACTATATTTATTTGTGTTCTGTTTTGTTCTGGGTGATTGTTATTCCCTCGACGCTGTTCTTTGATACGTTCGTCCTAAACTGGGTACACGTTTCTATGTGAGGGTTTAAACTTAGCATTATGGTGACTCACCCCTTGTACATATCCTATGCTAGTCAGTTCTACGTGATTATAAATTATTGGTTAAATTGTGTATTTTTAAAAGGCTGTTTTTTTTAAATGATGATCTTAATTGTCATTTCAGAAAGAACCAATGGTAGTAGATAATGGCGTGCGTGTGTCTGCCATATGTCCAGGGGTTACCAAAACATCCATCATCGATTTAAAAGACGTGGACGAGAAGAGTCGCTATGGAAACATACTGCGTAAGGTCTTTAAAAACCCACAAGGCATGACGTAAGTTACATGCGATTAATATATTTCTAGCTTCGGTGTCTTACATTCTTACAGCATGTATATAAATGCTGCCAGTTCACTTTCACCGATTCATCGTAAAATATGAATGTTCTACATTACTGTTCTCAACATTTGGCAATATACTAGTATATCGTGACTAATAATTTGAGGTATTTTAACATATTTTCAAACCCAAAATCTTGACAAATAAGTTAAGTCTGTACGTGTTATGATTCTATCAGTGTTTTGTTTGTGGCCGCTATAGTCTATTGCAGTACGTGTCACGTGACACCTTGTTTGAGGCTATAGATTTTGTCCGTCTATTATCGCGTACACGTTTAATGAAATCACCGTTGTAAATGTCTGGTACATTTTTCTTCCTTCAAAGAAATTTATTAATATCTGTTTTGTTTTGTTTGCAGGCCTACAGACGTTGCCATCAGTGTGATAACTATGATAGAAGATACTAAATACGACGGTAGTACGTGTATGGTGACTCATAAAACGCCACTAGAAATTGTAGATCAGCCAAATATTGTGATGACATGACCAGAGCATTGACACTTTTCCCGGAAAGTCAGGGTTGACATATGACTGTATTATCACACCGCTACATTTGGTGTATGTGGTTGAGAACTACTGATGTATTGAACGTAGCTCCTATAAGAAGAGGTAATAACATGTCGGAAAAATAACATTTCTGTATGTTTCAAAACATTGGACATGAAAACAGAAGAGAAGAGATTTTTGCTAAACGAAAATACCAATTATTTTGTATATTCAGTTCCCACTGTATGTAAAATTAGAGTAATAATTTGCTCACCACAAGCTAGAATTGTGTTCAATACAGGTCAACATAAAATCCCGTAATGGCGATGTATATATGTGATGGTTGGAGTAGTGAAATGTAAGTTAAAATAACAAATTTAAAAGTCAAATAATGCCGAAGGTTTAAAATAAATGGTAAACAATAAGAATTAAAAATCAGTATCGTGGTCGATCATAGTCATTTATCGTTGTCGGTGTAAACAAAGTGTCACTGAATTTACTTGAGGAAATTTACTGTTTTTCGACAGCAGAGTAAGATACAATTATAATGCCTATAAGTATTGATTAAACCAAAACTGAATCCCGTTTACATAGCATCCACACATACACAATTAAGATTCAATCGATTATATGCATAGTGTTTTATCCATATACATTCATGTATATGACAGTAATTTTATCATTACGAGAATATTATATTAAACATATACGTCTACGTGCTATTCATAGTTAGCTGCATTCAGGGTAATACGTATTGTGTAGCTTCACGTCGAATACTCGTTAATTTTGGTAAGAGTATCTAAAATGGGTTAATTTGGGATAACTTTTTAGTCATCTACTTGGCTGAAATATCACGACGTTTCCATAAATACATGAAAATACAACGACGTTACAAGAGAATCAACTAGGATAGAAGGCATGCAAAGGGTGATGTGTTAATTCACATTTAATAACATGTTCTATGGATGAAAAATAAAACAAAAATAATAGTCAAGGTGGGTTACACACATTTTATCCGAGTGTGCTAGGTGATTAAATGAAAAGTAAGGATTCGAGCCTAGCGTTTAGACGGGCATAGCTCGACATGCGCAGAGGATGGTACATGACCTAAAAAGGTTCATTTAGGTTTTCGTGAAACATCACGTTCATTCATCTGAAAGCAGTAAATGGATTAGGTCGGTGTTGTACTTGAACAGGGGCTGATTTAGTTACAATACATATCACTTATGACTATTCCTTGGTCGCCAAGTTAAAATACACTTATGGGTACCACGATCACATGACACATTTAACCAGTCAACTATGCTATTAATATATTCACTGAAAAAAACAGACGTGGATCAACACAATGTGTACAAAGTCCACCATCGCGCTATTATTGAATAAACATTTATCATATACACCTGTTTCACGTGTTCCGTTGGCACATTGTCAATCGGACTAGGGTGGGGCGTAACGACGAAGGCATGTCATATAGATATGTATGTAAAATTACTGCAAATGGGTAAACAAATAATGTGAGAGTATAAAAGTGGTATATCCAGAATATATCATAATGTGAGAGTATAAAAGTGGTATATCCAGAATATATCATAATGTGTGAGTATAAAAGTGGTATATCCAGAATATATCATAATGTGAGAGTATGAAAGTGGTATATCCAGAATATATCATAATGTGAGAGTATGAAAGTGGTATATCCAGAATATATCATAATGTGAGAGTATAACAGTGGTATATCCAGAATATATCATAATGTGAGAGTATAAAAGTGGTATATCCAGAATATATCATAATGTGAGAGTATAAAAGTGGTATATCCAGAATATATCATAATGTGAGAGTATAAAAGTGGTATATCCAGAATATATCATAATGTGAGAGTATAACAGTGGTATATCCAGAATATATCATAATGTGAGAGTATAAAAGTGGTATATCCAGAATATATCATAATGTGAGAGTATAAAAGTGGTATATCCAGAATATATCATATAAATATGTTATGTCAATTGTTACAATTATATTATTCGTGTGTGTATTTTTAAGAGGATGATGAACAGTCATTTTAACTAAATAAACCGAAATAAAGAAAGATTATTAGCGTTTAGCGATTAGTGTTGAAAACTACTAGTATGTGTTTAATTATATGCTTTGGTCGCCAGGTAATCCCTTTGGCAAACATTATCGTATTCTCCTATATTAAGTTTTCAGATGATAATAGGTTGTTATAGTAGCATGTTTGGTAATAAAGAATGTCCGAATCACAGATCACTTATTAACTCGTTCTTCCCGGGTTATCTTAAAATGGCGGTTTGTTGTTTATCGGTATCCATGGTTCTGTGACGTCGATCCATTGCAAATCCTAGACCCGCTGTGAAGCACCCATTGCTCAAGACGTGACCAAGGAAGGCCTGTAACCAATCTTCATCAAAATATGGATCACGGACTATTATCGTGGACACAACTCCGGTTACTGCGATAGTGTTTGTAACGCAGGCACACTTCACAGAGTATGTTCTAGAACCAAACTACCTCGGATCTGACTTTTACCGATCGTATGGAATCTGTTTGTTAACGTACATGGTATGGAGGTGTCAGAACAGATTAAAATGGACCCGCTACCACATGCTGTTCACATCGTGGACCAGGCAGTTAAACCACCAATAAGACGAAATACAGGTGACATGAAATCCATAAACAAATGTGAAGAGTGCAAAGAAAGAGACTGTAACGTAAGTTGTGTTGAATGTTCATGTAACTTGTGTATAATCTGTTCTACTGGTCACCAGGCAACTACAGACCACCATTTGACAGTGCAGACAGAGGTTCCAAAGTCCACAAAAACTGAGTATGCGCAATGTCCAACCTTATGTAGTCTCCACAAAAGCAGCGTGCTGAATACTTTTTGTGATACTTGCAAGGTGCCAGTTTGCAGTGTCTGTCTGATAATGAGTCACCCAAGTCCTGATCACCAGCACAGGAAACTAGAAGATGCCGTCACAGAGCTCATTGAAAGTCTTGACCGTGAGGAAAACAAGTTGCATGCACTACAAGAGAAGGTGCAGAAAAATAAGCTCGATGCACAAAAAAGGCTGGATATGCTGTATGAGAAATGTGATAATGAGTACACCAAAGTTGATCAATATTTAAGCGTTGTTGTTGAGAAGATAACTGAAGCTACAGAGAAACTGAAAGCAAGACAGAGAGCACAGGCACAGGAGCTTAAACGCTCACTGAATCTGAAATATGAGGGAATCTCGAGGTCTTTAAAGAGTAAAGTAAAAGAGCTGGAATTCAGTGAAAAGGACATCGACATGACATTTCTTTTGATTAATAGCATTCGTGAATCTGAAAACCATCCACGGTTGGCGCATGCGTGGAAGATACTGCAGGATTACGAGTATCGTAGGAGTACAACTGCTTCAAACACAGATTATTGTGACGAGGAGAGATACGCTTATTTTCAGCAGAACCAAACCGCTTTTGATATTGTTGATAGTATCAGTGAGATTCAATGCGATTTGGGAATCATAGAAGAAAGGGTGGAAGACCAGGAAGGGAGGGAGATGGGGGGCCTAAGAGAACATTCAGGTCTGAAACATATGGGTTTGTACAAAAAGACACTGACACGGGCTAGTTTGCCACAACACAAGGATTTGTCCATGGTAAACACACTGGGAGAGTCTCACTATACTACTATGAAAGGTGGACCACATGATTTATCAGAAACCAGGGAAACAAATAGCACCAAGACATATATGAATTATCCTCGTTCTAGAGATACCGCTGAAGGTCAAACAAGGGATACATATGTCGAGATGGGAGGAAAACAGCCTCGTTCACGCCTTGAGGGAGAAGCCCAGCCTGTAACTGATGGAGGATATATCAGCACTGAACAACCTGTTGACGTAAATGAAAGGATGGAATCACCACATCATAACATATATGAATCAATTCCTGCTAAGGAGCGAATAATCAAGTGTGGCTATGAAGGAGGATTGCAGCAACGAATCAGTAAACGACCAAATGACAACACCCTACTTGTAGACAGAATTACACAAATAAATGAGATCAAAGCTTGCATGAATGAACCGATGAAAAAGGGGGATACTTGGTACCTACTCCGTGTTCCTTGGTTCAACAGATGGAAGAAGTTTGTTGGATATGACAATACAACCCATGAAACCATTTTGCAGGATCAGCCTCCGGGAAAGATCAACAATGCATTTTTATTCCGCCGCCAGAGTGAAGAACTGAGAGACGGTCTTGTTGAAGGAAAGGATTACATCTTAGTACCACCAGAAGCATGGAACAAGTTGTCACTTTGGTATGGTAGAGTGGAAGATCAAAAACCAGTCCAAAGAGCTGTCATTCGCACGTCTATACGTAGAAAGCTGACTGTCAAAGTGTATTAATATTATAGAGAATAGTAATAAATAGAATTATTGAGACAAATAAGGAATACACATACACAATTAGCTATAAACAACTTTATCAGCTTCATGCATTCATTGTTGAAAGTATATTTAAGGAACTCATTTTTACAATATTATCGGAAGTATACGTATTTGATTGTCACTGTGTTACTGTTACTTACAACATATGTACCAATTGGCACTAAAGCATATTACAATTACTCATTTAATGAATGTCTTTAATGATGGCATGTCTATATATAATCACAAAACCATGTTGTATACATGCATATGTGCCATACTGTACTCAGCTTTTATTTAGTATTGATATTTCATAGCCATAGAGCGTAACTCACTTTCTTGAAGGTAGGATTCCCAGTTTAGTCATGTAAGTCAAAGAAGAGACAGGCGAGTTAGGTATTTGCCGTCCTATCTTTCTACTATTTTCAAGCTTATTGAACAAATATAGAAACTGACAGTCAAACCATTAAACAAATCTTTTTGTTTAAATATCCGGGTGTCTGGTTTGATCCAAATTAAAATTGGTATATTTACATAAATAGAATTTATAATAAAATATCGTAATGG